ATCTCACTCAATAGTTGTGCTCAGATACATCCAATTTGCAAAGCCAAGCCTCTGAATTCAGCCTTAAGGAAACACAGCAAGCATGAGCCTGGACATTTTAGCAGTCCTTATGGCAGACCACAGGGCTCACGCCTAAGACTAATCCAGGCAGTCCCTTGACCACACTTAGAAAAACACCCCAGAACCATTCTCCCAGAACAAAACCTAAGCAGGTTATAGAGAGTGAGAGGAAAAACTCCCAATAGGAAAGGATCACAGTGTTCAACTCCCGCCAGATTCCATGAATGTGGCCGAGTCAAATAACAGTCTATGAGGCCCCATACTTGTAAAGGTTTCCATTTTAGCTTCTGACTGGATTTCATAGTTATTAAAGGAATCATCCTCCTCCTCAGTGTCCAGCTATCTTAACCTGCACAGATCATGTAAAATCACAAAGTCACACCACACATTCTGACACAGCATCTGAATTTTTCCTAATAGAGAAACTAAATCTGAGCCAGGAAGAAGGCTAAAATGAGTGGGGTGAGAGCCCAAGCCTGCAGGAGGCGCTGCCTCTCTCCAGGTCTTTGTGAACTGGCATCTGGTCTGTACCCTCACTTGTTCAGTCATTCCATCAACAGATGATTACTGAGTGCCAGCCACATGCCAGGCACTGTGCTGGGCAACAGATTCAGCAGCCAGGAGTGTGGCAGATCCTACCTGCGAAAGCTTACTTGCTAAAGAAGGAGATGGCAATAAACAGGCGTCCAAAACAATTCACATAAGGATCAACCATGACACTGTGCTTGAGACTGTGAATCACAAGGGTCCTACTTTAGAAAGAAAGGTCAGAGAAAGCCTTTCGGAGGGAATGATGTTCATGCTAACACCAAAGGAGGAGAAGAGCTGGCCATACAAAGAAGTAGGACAAGAGCAGGTCCAAAAGCGTAAGCCAGAGAGCACCTGGTGTGTTCAAGGACCTCAGGGAACTCAGCGAGCAAGGAGAAAGGGAGTGGGTAGTTGGGAGTATAGGGAACATGAGGCCTACCTGGACTTGGTCCCATATAGCTCCTCACAAAGCCACGGGCCTGGCCTATCCTTGGGAATGCAGAGATCTCTCCTAATAGGTACCATCCTTTCAAACGCCGCCCAAGGACCACCATGGATGGCAACATGAGACTACTGTGTGTTTTGTTTTGTTGTAGTGTGGTGTGTTATGCTATGTGCTATTACTGTTTCGAATTTCATGTTCTGGGTTGTGACTATGTTGTATATCATCTATTATACTGTGTGGCATGGCATGATATATCATCCCTTAATGGCTTCCCATGCCTCAGGATCAAGACCAGTGATCAGCCTGGCTTCCATGGTGCTGCACAGCCTCATCCCACACCACACCCTACACTTCTACCATATAGGCTTTCTTTCAGTTCCTCAAACAAAATCATACTCCTGCATCCCACAGGACCTTTGGGTAGGCGGCCATCTGCAAAGAAACAACTTCCACCCATGGCCCAGGCCCAGCCCTCTGACTGGCCAATGCCCGTGCCTCCATTAGACTCTAGCTTCAGTACCTAAGCCTTTCCCAATCCCTGGAGCAGTATGGATCCTGTTCAGAGCCCCCCAGCATTGAGCTTCTCTTTTAGCAGAGTCTATCAACTTGAGTCCTGTGCTTCCTCCTCTGGGTGGCTGACCGACCCCTGGGATTGCCTCCAGCAAGAAACCAGGCCATGCCATGCTGCATCCCCAGCACAGAGCACATTGCTAGGCATAGAGCTGGCATCCAGTAAGTGTTGAGAGAGGAATAAAAAGTGCTTCAAAATCCCAAATCTGAACAATGGAGCCTCCCAAGACATTTTCCTGCCTTCGGTTAGTACTAAATTTAGACAGGGAAGAATTTGCTTACCAGCTAGGTTGTGTCAAAGGCCTTAAATACACCATTTAACTCACTTGTGCCTTGCTCATACTCATGCCCACTAGGTACTGAAGAGACTGGGGGGCAGTAAACTATGCCCTGTAGTCTGTTTAGTACAGCTTACAAGCTAAGAATGGTTTTCACATTTTTATTTATTTATTTATTTTTGAGTCAGAGTCACACTCTGTCACCAAGCCTGGAGTGCAGCAGCACACTCATGGCCACCGCAGCCTTGACTCACTGGGCTCAGGTGATCCTTCTACCTCAGCCTTCCAAGTAGCTGGAATCACAGGTATGTGCTACCACACCCAGCTAATTTTTGATTTATTGTAGAGATGAGGTCTTGCCAAGATGCCCAAGCTGGTCTCGAACCCCTGGGCTCAGCTAATTCTCTCGCCTCAGCCTCCCAAAGTGCTGGGATTACAGGTGTGAGCCACTGTACTTGGCCAACTTTCACATTTTTAAAGCGTTGTTAGGGAAAAAAAAAAAGAATAGGCTGGGCTCGGTGACTCAGCCTGTAATCCCAGCACTTTGGGAGGCCGAGGTGAGTGGATTGCCTGAGCCTGCATGTTTGAGACCAGCCTGGGCAACTTGACAATACCTCATCTCTACAATAAATAAAAAATTAAGCCGGGTGTGCTAGTACACACCTGTAGTTCCAGCTACTTGGAAGGCTGAGGTGGAAGGATCGCTGAAACCCAGCAGGTCGATGCTGGGGTGACCATGAGTGTGCCATTGTACTCCAGCCTGGGCAACAGAGTGAAACTCCAACTCAAAAAAAAAAAAAAAAAAAAAATATATATATATATATATATATATTTATTTATTTATATTTATATATCCCACAAATACTTTAGTATTTACTATCTGACTCTTTGCATGAAAAGTTTTTCTGACCCCTGGGATAGATGGCAGTTACTTTAAAAGCCCCGTGTCCTCTGCTCCCAGAGAGAGAATCTATACTCTTATTTTAAAATCCCAGCCCCAGATTTAACTACCAAGCCTAACACCCTCCTGCTTCCATTTGGCCACCCCCCAGTGCATCTAGGGTGGCTACAAAGCCAGTTCCCAGCCCTCTCTCCTCCAGTCACATCACCATAATCCCTTCTGATGTCCTCAGGTCTTTTCTTCCTTCACTGTAACAGGGCTCCCCAGGTCTCTTCCAAAACACTGATAGGATGGAGACTCTAACCTAGCTGATGAAATGAGGGGAAGGGCACCAGATGAGCGTCTCAGAGCAGCCTGAAGAGAAGCCTTATCATCTGTCCATCTCAGTGCTTGGGTATGAAGGTATTCCTGGGGAACCCGCCCTCACAACTGCCAGAACCAGCCCTTCGTGAATGGGTGCTATGTGCTATCTCTGTGCTAGCCCCTTCTAGTTCATTATCATAGTGACCCTACGAGAGAAATGTTGTTCTGTCCTTTTGAGAGTGGCCTCAGTTCCTAGGGTCACCCAATTAATAACATTAGGAGTGCCTAGGTCAGTCTGATGTAGGGCAGGAGCTCTAGACCACTGTGTGACAATGCCCTCAGAGCAAGTAGGGGGTGGGGAAGTGGAAATGGAACACTGCCACCAAGGCATGCTAAGTTTAAAGATTCCATGTCAGAATTTTAAATATATAAATGGAATGCCAGAGCTCACTAAAGGGCTAAGCTGCCCAACTTCCAGGGGCCACCAACACCAGTTTGCTCTTCCTGGAGGCAGAAAGCCTCACACATCACAGGGCTCACAAGGGCTATGCAAAGGCTCTGCTGAGGACCATTTTGCAGGGCTCCCCCTATGAGAAAAAGCACTTTTCTCCCCTGGAGAGAAAGCATGGTGTCAAGAGCCAGTTCCCTGGGGCTGACTCTACACTCCCCATTTAACTGCTCTGAGCTCTGGTTTCCTCCCTTCCTTAGCACATGTTAGTTTTCTTTTCCCTTCTAGGTAGGGTAGGCTAAGAAGGGCCTTACAGGTGGCTGGGGTCAATAAGGTGACAGCATAAAAGGGACCCAGGGAGAGAGAGCTGACCTGCTTCTTAGTAGTTAACAATAAGTATGCTCCTCTAGCCCTCTGGCGACGCACCCAGCCCCCATCCACAACACCAGTCCAGGGATCTCTCCCACCTGTACAGGCAGTATCCCACATCTGGGCTTACTAGCTGACCCAGCATTCCTAGAGATACCCAATGACCTACGTGAAGAAGGGAATGGGCTGCACCAGTTTCAAGTCTGGCTCCTTCTCCCGCACGATCAGTGCTTGCCCCTTCTTCTGCCACCCCAGGGCCTCGTCTACGATGGTCTGTGTCTCAGCTGCACTCACCAACACATCATGAACTAACATGTCACTAAAGGCATATAAGACAGGAAGAAATCACAGTATTATAAACTAGAGCCAAGGCTGAAGTTTTACAGACAGAGATGAGTTTAAATTAACACCCTTTCATATGTAGTGATTCTTCCCACAAATAAAATAAGCACTTAAGTTTGGCCTGGGTAGGGCAGTAATTAGCATTTTTTTTTTGAGTTGGAGTCTCACTCTGTCACACAGACTAGAGTGCAGCAGCCTCAACCAGCTGGGCTCTGGCAATCCTTCTGCCTCAGCCTTCCAAGTAGCTGGAACTATAGGCATGCACTACCACACCCAGCTAATTTTTTGATTTATTGTAGAGATGAGGTCTCGCCAAGTTGCCCAGGCGGGTCTCGAACCTGCGGGCTCAGACAATCCAATCACTTCAGCCTCCCAAAGCGTGGGATTACAGGCTGAGCCACCAAGCCCGGCTAGTAATTAGCATTTTTAATACTCACATAGAACTAGAAATGACTACTACCCTTTGTTCCTTTGACAATTAAATTAGGCAGAGAAAATGTTTTTATATATATCAACAATATCATAGAAACATCTGAAAAGCCACAGAAAAATAAAATCTTTCTCTCAATTATTATTAGACAATTGAAATAGAACTTAACTATCCCATACTGTCCATCCCAACAAAAAGTCATCAAATAAGCAAAGTTCACCAGTATTTGGTGACACCAAAATGCAGAAAGTGCAGGGTTTTGAAACTTCAGGTGCTTTCTCACAGATACACCACTGCCTGAGGTGACCCAGTAACACCTGCCCTCCTGCCTAGACTGTCCTGATGCCTCCCAGCACCTCAGAGTCACTCACTTATAAACTTCTGTTTTATGTGTATATCATTTATCTCCCCCAAGAAGGTTAGTTCTCTCAGGACAGACATTGCTTCAGTTCCTACCTCCTCAACAAGGCAGAAGAGGCAGACACAAATAAATAAGCACCCTACAGATGAATTCCAGGGACCAAGGAATACCAGAGGGCAGGGGAAGTTGGCTGGGCCAGAGGGCTGGAGGGAGGAGTAGCTAGAGCTCAGAAAATGGCTGAAAGGTAACCTGGGAGTCAGAAATGAAGGAAATGCAATGGTAGGACAGCTGGAGAAGTGAGAAGATAGCATGCCAAGTTAGGGCACAGCAGGAGCCAAGATGAGGATACAGGACAGTACACAATGGGACTAGGTTAAGAATCTACCAAGAATTTTGGGCAGTTTTAACCAAAGGAGCCTGGGAGGGAAAAGCAGGAGGTGAGGGGGTAGAACTAGGGGTCAGGCTTCAAAGGATCTCTTGGGTGATACAACTGAGTATGGACTTACTCTGGAGGCAAGGCAGGGATGCCACACAGAGGCATGTTTCAGACAAAACCCTGGAAAGAGGAAAGGCAGGAGGCAAGGAGGAAAGCTAGGCAGCAGGTTGCCTAAGCATGCAGAGGAGAGCTAGGACACTGGGCTCTGGCAGGGCAGTAGGAAAGGAGAGCAGCAGCCTGGGAGGACAAACAGAGATTAGGCAATGCAGAGTAATTAACAGGCAGTCCAAGGTCAATTCATTAGAGGAGGGACTGCAGCAGAGCATGAAGCCCTGAGCACAGAGGGTTCATCAGCTGGGAGGTCAGGACCTGGGAGAATAAGGTACACTCCTGAATTTCACCAGCTATGTGGTTTGAAGTACAGGTATGGCACAGGAAGGGGCAGGGCATACCACTTGAGGAACATTCAGAGAGAGTCCTTCCGGAGACAAGGCTGCTCCTCAAAGATCTTCTCCTTGAGAACTAGCCCCTTGCTGTATCGGCAGTCCTTCTCCAAAGCTTTGCAGATGAAGTACAGACATGCTGGCAGAAAAAGAAATAGTTTATGACTTCTGAGACTGCACTCAGAAGCTCTGACATTGCCAGTTAACACCAGGAAAATGTTCCCACTCTTGAATCAAGAAAATGCCTAGTAAATGATAAAGAGATACTATTTTAACCAATTCAATCAGGAAAGATTTCTGGAAATAATAACCAGAATAGATGGGGCACTGCACGGAGAACAGACCAAATGCTACCAGCAGAGGGTAGACAGTACAACCTTTCTGGAGGACCACAGGCATCATACACAGACCCTATACCCAGTGACCCCACTTCGAGGAATTGCTGCTAAAAAAAGCTTCAGGCTCACAGTGATTAGCTATTGGCTAACTAAAAAACAGTCTTCAAGAAAGCCGGAAACTACTTTGTCCACTATGGGGGCCTGGTAAGTAAACTGTGACTGATCCACACAATGTGCTCCCAGCAGCTGCTGCACAGATGGTAGAGGAGTGTGCTACTGACCAGGAAGAAGGCCAATATACGGCACCAAGCAGAAGTAAGGAAAAAAACAGGTCATATAATGTGACTCCATTTGTATACATAAACCTGACTTTTTAAATTTTGACTTACCTAAATTTTCTAATTTTATTTTCTTTTTTAAAAAATCTTTCTTAAAGTCATCACCTAAAATTTAAGATTCTTGTGAATGTAATAATGAGCCTCCTCAAATCATTAATCTGGAAAGACTGTGCCAATTCCAGGTCCTCTGGGAATGTACACAGTAACAGGTAAACTAATGCATGGAGAAAAATGGCATGGCATGGATTCAGAAAGCAGAACTACAGTATAAATTATAAATGCCTTTAACACTTATAAGTGGGAACAATCCAAGTCTCGCCAGTGAACACACAGGAGAAACGGCACAATGCACAGAGCACCAGCTCCACTCTACCCAGGCACTGGGATCACTATCATGCCCTGCTCAGCTTCTCTGTATGGTATAGAAGAATGGCAAGTTACTACTATCGAGAAACAAAGGCCGGGAGTGGTGGCTCAGGCCTGTAATTCCAGCACTGTGGGAGGCCAAGGAGGGAAGATCCCTTGAGGTCATTTCAAAATTTGCCTAAGCAACATAGGAAAACTCTATGGTCATCTCTACCAAAAATGAGAAAAACTAGCCACATAAGGTGGTGCACATCTGCAGTTTCAGCTGCTTGGAAGGCTGAGGTAGGAGGACTGCTTGAGCTCAGGAGTTCAAGGCTGCAGTGATCTGTGATTATGTCACTGCACTCAAGTCTGGGTGAAAGAGTGAGACCCTGTCTCTTAAAAATAGAATAACCACAAAAAGAAACACCTAGGGGAGAGGAGCAACATAGGGAGGAAAGCCATAGCAGAAGTAGAGATCTGGGCATGGAAGCGTCAGGAGAGAGGAAGGAAGTGATGTGCTCCTAGTATGCTTAGAGGGAGAGAACTCAGCCTGGTTACAATGCTCAGCAGGGATCACATACCCCAAAACACACAAAAGTTGTGCAGCTTGCAAGCAGAGTGAGGTGTGCACAGTTACAGCATGTTCCAGCAAGCTGCAGACGGAACTGTTGAATTGATGGCCCCCAGATGCTGCCTCAGACATACAAGGGAAATGGTTTCTCTGGGACTACAGCAGGACCTGAAGGGTGGCCATCAGTGACTCCCAGAGAGAAAACCCAGGAAGCACACTGAGCACTTGGATAATGTCAGTTCTCAGTAGGCATATTAACTGCCATAAGCTAAGCTCACTAGCTACACTCCACAAACAGACATGCAGAAAGAAGGACCGAGAAACCTCAAGAGAATGAGAAGAGGTGGTCAGCAGGCCTTAACCCAACAGCATCCCTGCCTACTCACCTCAAACACATAAAATGCCACTGAGAGCCAATCTAACATGCTGCTTTTACTTTTGGTTTAAACGAAGATAAAAATCTAACAGGGCTCTCAGGGAATACATGTATCAATCCAGTCCCTTTTAAGGCTCATTTTAAGTGTCAATTTGAATGGGCTATGGGGTATCCAGATTTTGGCCAAACATTATTTTAGGATTTTTGTGAGGATGTCTTTGGATGAGATTAACATTTAAATCAGTACACTGAATAAAGCAGATTGCTCTCCCTAACATGGATGGGCCTCATGCAATCAGTTGAAGGCCTGACTAGAACAAAAGGGGCTAACTTCCCCCCCCCCAAGAAAGACAGAAAGTGCTTTCCTATCTTTGAACTGGGACGTTGGCTTTTTCCTACTTTCTCACTAGACCCAAAATGTAACCTCTTCCTGAGCCTGTAAGCCCTTCAGATCAGAGCTACACTATTAGTTCTCCCAGTTTCAGGCATCTGAACGAACTCAAACCATACCACTGCTCTTCTGGGTTTGTGGCTTGATGACTCACCCTGTCCACCTTGGAATTTCTCAGCCTCCAAGAGCAAATGAGCCAATTCCTTACAATGAATCTCTTTTTACGTATGTATATACATCCTATTAGTTCTGTTTCTCTGGAGAACCCTAATATAAACATTATTTTCTCCACAAGGACTTGAGTTTACCAAGCACAACTTCTACCTTGAGAGAAGTATACAAAGAACTAAAGCAGTTGGCTGGGGAAGGAAGGCTGAACTCCAAAGACGGTACCCCAACTGTAGAAGGAACATCCAAGAGACCCAGAGCCTCTGGAAGAAGAAACTCCTGTCCCACAGAATTGTTATATTCTGTTGGAGGGAATGAAGACAGAGACAACCAACAGAACAATTACATATGAGGGGGGACCCAAAAAACCCCAGAATTTATTTATAAAAAATTGTGTACTTATTCTTACATGTTTAAACTTCAGTTACCTTCAAAGTACTCTCCACTTGATGCAATACACCTATCAAAACACTTTTTCCACTGCTTAAACATTTCTGAATTTGTCAATGTTGATGTTTTTTAGTGCTTCTGCCATTTTGTTTTACCTCATCTACCTTTGCAAAACGTTATCCTTTAAGGACTTTTTTCACCAAGTAAACAACAAAAAAAATTGCTTGGAGTGAGATCGGGTGAATAGGGACAGTGGGGCACATGGGTCATATAGTTTCTGGTCAAAGACTCCTGGATGCTGAGTTTAGTGTGGGCAGGTTGTTCATGTAAATTACCCATCATAAAATAGGCAAGCATGTTGAAAGAATCTCCACACCTCATATTCACTGAAGCCAAATGCAGCCTCTCACAACAACGCTAGCTGGTACACTGATGCCAATGGGTTCCTAGAACACTTACCTATTGGGAAAAGCCTGTACTATAAGGGGCCTACCCTCCAAAAAATAATTTCACTTTTGGGTACCCCTTCATATGTTCACTGAAGGATATATACAAGAATGTTCAAAACAGCATTATGCCTAAGAGGTCAAATCCTGAAAATAACCCAAATGTCTATGCACAGAATGGTTAAATTGTGTAGATACAAATAATAGACTACACGGCAATAAAAAAATACCTAACAACTGCTGTAACATAGACAGGTGTACTCCCAGACAGGATGACAAGTGGAGGGAGCCATGCTGAGAAGAGCACATGCCTTCTGACTCTACCTAAAGGAAGTTCAACAACAATCAAGGTTCATCTCTAGTGACAAAAGAAAGGACAGCTGTCTTAGGGGGGTAGTAATGAGTGAAAGGAAGCCAAAGTAGCCTGCCTTCTGGAGACTGCAAATGTTCCATATCTTGATGTGTTTTCACATATGCAAATTGATAGGTTTCCGACTTATGCACTTTATTGTGTGTACATTTTGCCTCAAGTAAAAAGATTTGTATGGCTATAAACTGGAGGTAGGAAGGATAAGCAGCCCTCATCCTTCTCAACATACTCTATTCTGTTCCTATTTGTCTGTCTGTTTGTTTGTTTATTGATTTGGAATCTCACTCTGTTTCCACCTCAGTCAACCAAGTAGCTTTAACCACAGGCTGGCTAATTTTTTTGATTTATTGTAGGCTGGTCTTGAACCCCTTGGCTCAGGCAATCCTCTCACTTCTGCCTCCTAAAGTGTTGGGATTACAGGCGTGAGTCACCACAACTGGTCCTATTTGTTTTTTTTAAGGAAGGAAAAAAAGATGTCCCAGGCTCCAGATCTATGAGAAATAAACTATTGTTTAAGCCATCCAGTCTCTCATATTTTGTTACAGCAGCTTGAACTAAGATAGAAATTGGTACCGAGAAGTGGGTGCTGTTGTTACAAATTCCCAATAATGTGAAGCAGCTTAGAACTGGGTAATGAGTATAGGCTTGAAGAGTTTACAAGTGCATGCTAGAAAAAGACAATAATTGGCATGAAGGGATTGTTACAGATGATTCTGATGAGGGTTCAGAAAGAAAAGAGCTGTAGAAAAAGATTCCATCTTCCTGGAGAATAAATAATCCTGTATAGTCTGTTAGTACACATAAGAACACTAAAGGCAATTCTGCTGAGATCTCAAATGGAAATAAGGAATGTGTTACTGGAACTGGAGGAAGTTGATCTTTGTTATAAAGCGCCAAAGCACTTGGCTGAATTGTGTTCATGTTCTAGTGTTTTGTGGAAGGTAAATTTGTGAGTAATGAAACTGGGTATTTAGCTGAGGAGATTTCTAAGCAAAGTGTTGAAGGCATGGCCTGATTCCTCCTAACTGCTTATAGTAAAATGCTAGAAAAGAGAGATCAATTAAAGGAGGAACGTTAAGCAAAAAGGAACCAGAATTTAAAGATCTATTTTCTCAGTCTATCCATATTGCAAAAATTGAGAAATTTGTTCTGAGAGATTAAAAGTAATGACTAACCATTTGATAATAAGATTAGTGTGGGCACGAACCACAAATTTAATCAGCCACCTCCACAGAAACCAGAAAGAAAAATGGGATTACACTAGCAGAAATGCTCCCAGTTGGGGCTAAACGGAACAAAAAAAGTGGCAGGGAATAAAGGAAGGCTGGGAATATGTGCTATTCTTTAAGAGAAGGTAAGAAGGACCCCAAAGGTGATTCAGAGATCATCTGAGCTGCCACTCCTACCAAAAGCCTTGGTGCCAAGTCTAGTTCTTTAAAGGGTGTGACCATCTCTTCAGTGTGCATTGGCCAGGGTGTCCCAATGTCTCAGGGACAGGGCCCTCTGCCAAATCAAAAAGGTAGGACTTGCCCCCCAACTCTCTGCCATGGAGGTGATGTTGCCACCCCATGTGCATCAAGGGCAGAGCATCACATCAAGAATTATTCCTGAGCACTAAGATCTTATATTTGCCTTGCTATGTTTGTAAAATTTTGGACTTGTTTGGGACCTATTACCACTTTCTTCTTTCCTATTTCTCCCTTTTGGAATAGAAATTATAACTGTCCCACAATTATATTTGGAAGCACATAATTTTTGGGTCCCCTCTCTTATGTTCACCAAAGGATATATACAGGCTCACAGCTAGAGATAAATTTTGCCTTAAAACGAAGTGTACCTTGCCAGGAGCAGTGGCTCTTGCCAATAATCCCAGAACTTTGGGAGGTTGAAGCGAGAGGATTGCCTGAGTCCGCAGGTTTGAGACCAGCCTGGGCAATATGGTGAGACTTCGTCTCTACAATAAATAAAAAAATTAGCTGGGCGTGGTGGCGCACTTCTGTGGTTCCAGCTACTTAGAAGGCTGAGGTAGAAGAGTCGCCTATGCCCGGGAGGTCGAGACTGTGGTGGCCATGAGCAGCATGCCACTGCACTCTAGCCTGGGCAACAGAGTGAGATTCTGACAAAAAAAAGAAGTATATCTCAAGTCTTACTCATTTCTGATTTAGATATTTAGATGGAATTATGGACCTCAGACTTTAAGAGTTGATACTGGGAAGAGTTCAGACTTTTGGGGCTATTAGGATGAAATGAGTATATGTGAAGAGAAGAAAACTGGGGAGCTAGGGGCAGAATGCCATGAACTGAAGGTTTGTGTCTCCCCCAAATCCCTATGTTGAAGCCCAAATCTCCAGTGATGGTAGTTGGAGGTAGGGTCTTTGGGTGGTGACTAAGTTTAGATGAGGTCGTGAGAGTAGAGTACCCATGATAGGACTACTGTCCTTATAAGAAAAGAATGCGACTAGAGTGCTCTCTCTCTGTCTCTGCCAAGTAAGGGTACAGTAAGAAGGTGGCTCTCTGCAAACCAGGGATCTGGCCAACATCAGACTCCAAATGTGTCCGCACCTTGATCTTAACTGTGAGAAATAACTTTAAGTTACCTGTCTTCATGTGTTCATAGCTAGAGAGGAATTTTTGCTTCAGGATAAATTATACCACAAGTCTTACATCTGATTTAGATATTTAGATGAAGTTCTGGACTTCAGACTTTAAAAGTTGACACTAGGGCCAGGCTTGGTGGCTCAGTCTCTAATCCCAGCACTTTGGGAGGTCGAGGTGAGTGGACTGCCTGAGCCAACGGGTTTGAGACCCACCCAGGTAACTTGGTGAGACCTCGTCTATACAATAAATAAAAAATTAACCGGGCCATGGTAGCACGTGCCTATAGTTCTGGCTACTTGGAAGGCTGAGGGGGGAGGATCGCCTGAACCCAGCAGGTTGAGGCTGTGGTGGCCAGGAGCATGCCACTGCACTCCAGCCTGGGCGACAGAGTGAGACTCCAACTCAAAAAAAAAACCAAAAACAGTTGACACTAGGATGAGTAAAGACTCTTGGGACTATTAGGATGCCACCTAATCTACTGTATTTTTCTATGGTAACCCAAATACACTACGACACAGAAGAGATAACGCAGGAATGAAACGAAATAGACAAAGGGAAACGTATTCAGAGAACATGTGACTTATTACTACAAAGCATCTGATAAATCAAGAAAGACAAGCAGAATAAAGCAGGAATATAAAAACATTTTCGTTCCTTCTCTCCTCTGGCCCCCAAAACACTGGCACATGGGAGAAAGCATTAAAGCCTGACTTACCTGCATAATCGCTGAGTGTGTACAGGGCAGTGATGAAGTTGTCCAAGCAGGGCCAGTGGTCAGGATTACAACGCAGCCCCTCCTCAAAAGCATGGCGAGCCAGGGGGATCTGGATGAGCCGCAGGGCCACATGCCCAATTTTATACCAAAGGTTGACATCCGTGGAGTCCATCATCACTGCCTAGAATCAGCACAAGCAGAGGGGAACGCACACATATTCAATCAGATCCCTCGCTGAGCAGGCACATGGGAACAAATGGGGCACAGCTCTAGCCTGGCCAAGCCACTCAAACTACCCAGGGAAATGGTGAAAGTGGCATAACTATCTTATAATTGACTAGCAAGACCAGCTTATCTTTCCTAGAGTCACATGCTTCCAAGAGCTAGAGTAATAGCACGTTACATGGACAAATTTAACTCAGAACATTTTCTTGATATATGTTGTCAATTTGAATATTTGCATTTCTTAAATACTTATAAGGTAAAAGAAATAAAAAAAGTAGAAGAAAAAGAAAATATGGGAGTCCTGTGGGATTAAAGACTATGTGCTATGAAGACAGATCTCAGTTCACATTCCTGCTCCAACACTGATTAGCAGAATGGTGATCTTGAGTCTCCATTCCCTCACCACTAAGGTGAGGCTAAAGATCCCTTCCTTGAAAGATAGTGTAAGGATTAAAGTGTGCATGAGAAGCAACAGCACTGTGTCTGGCACATTAGAGGTACCCACAGAGACAGCGATGGTCACAGGAGATGATAGTAATTATCTCCTACTAATGACTTTCAGCGTATCGAGTGCTAGGTTTCAGGCTCTGTTCTTCATACTGTCAACAATACCAATTCATTCTGTTTTCACAGTTATCCTTTTCCAATTACTCCCACTATATTGGTGTAGACCTGGAAGGCACCGAGAGATTAAACAACTCACTCATGGCCACATGTGCAATGAGTAACACAGGGAGAATTCACACACAGGCCTCTGCATCCAAGTTTGTCCCCTCCCTACAACCCCTGCTCTCTAGGCCTGGTCAGTACTCACTGTTATCAACCAAGATTAGAGCCTTGGGCACTAGAGCTTGATGATGTACCACTAGAAACTCTTATTTTTGGCTAACAAGACCCCAACCACAACCCCTCTACCAAGAGCTTTCAAAACATCAAGGAAGCTAAACACTGCCAAAACTGTGCCTCTAAATAGAACTCCATGGCTGTCTCTAAATCCTTCAGCTGGATTGCCAGTTGGGCCAGGTTCTTATATGTGGAATATTTCAATATCAGCCCAGGGTGTTTCAACCCCTCTTTCTCATCATCGGATGAAACTACCTGTGAACAAAGCAAAAAGAAATAGAAGTAACACCTAGGCCCTAAAACCACAGAAGCAGTCAGCAGGATACCTGGCTTCCAGACTGACCTCTGCTGCAGGGCCTCTGAGCTACTCCAATGCAGCCCTCTTTTGGAAAACAGAGGCAGGCACTGTGCAGGTGTTCTTAGAAGACCCCTCCTGCTCCAATCACACAAAAAAGGCCAGACCACCATTAGGTAGTTTGCAGGTGGTCTGGGCATCAACAGAGACAGAGGAAAGCCTCCCCACCACTACCACCACGCCTGAGGGTTCAAGACTGGAGGGTAACATTTACAGCACCCGGGCTAGCTGGTGGCTCCAGGTATGAAGATGGGAGACATGTGTGAGTAGTTCCCTGGGGGCAGCAGGCAGGCCGGGAGCTTCATCCTGGATTAGGAGTCAGAAGGCTGAGTTCACAACTCTATAACTCATCACATGACCATAGACATGTTAATTTAACTAATAAGTTAGTATCTGACCTCTATAAGGAAATAATTCCTACCCTCAATATCAAAAGTTTAAGTGAGCTGAAAGAGCATAAGAATTGCAAATGTGCTTAATATGAAAAGTTATTTCACAGCTTTCATGATAATTCTTAGGAGAACTTATATCTTCTAAGAAAGTACTGATTAGAAAACTACTGCTCTCACCACAGGACAAAGAATAAAACATTTTCTAACAGAAAAAAACTCAATGAGACAAGGCAGCTCTTTCCTGGGACATGTGGCTTCTACACACTACCGTTCATGCTCAGAAGAGGCAAGCCCCACACTCAGAAAGCATCCCTTGAGTAATCCAAGAGTCTATCTACTCTGGAGCTCTTAAGGAATTCCACTAGAAGACTGAAACGCTCAAATCAAGCCCCTTCACTTATCTCCTACTGTTGTCTGGTTTATACTACAAAAAGAACCAGCTGACCAGGGCTGGATCCCAGGTACTTTTGTCCTTCCCGGTACAGAACTCTTCAAAAAATAGTGTAAACAAATTTATGGAGGCTACAAGAGTCTACTTCAGACTAAACAGCAAAACGTGCACATAGGACATTGGTTGCTCTTAACTAACCATCTAACTAACCGCCCACATTCAGCACCTTCCCTGAAAGGCTTGCCCCAACAAGTCCCCCAGACTGGCTGGACACTTCTTAGGAGTCAGCAGTGCTCTAGGACCTGTTTATGCCAACTGTCTGTGAAATGGTAATTATGTAATTTAGTTTAATATTAAGTACACCAATGCAATATGAATATAAAAAATGTTTTCTGTATATTTTCTGTACTTTTCAATTGCTTACATGTTTTACTCTTATAACCAAGGGGGTTACTAAAACAAAATCGGCAAATCTATACAGGCAGAAAGTAAATTGGTAGGCTGGGGAGGACAATTGTGGAGTAACTACCAATGAGTTTAGGGTTTCTTTCTGGGGTGATTAAAATGTCCTAAAGTTACATACTTCTGTTAATACTCTAGAAATCACTGGATCTGTATAGTTTTGTTTTGTCTTTTGTTTTTTGAGTCGGGTTCTCACTCTATCACCCAAGCTAGAGTGCAGTGGCATGATCATGGCTCACCACAGCCTCCAACTTCTGGGCTCAAGCAATCCTCCCACCTCTGCTTTCCGAGTAGCTAGGACTATAGGCATGTGCCACCATGCCCAGCTAACTTTTTTAATTTTTTGTAGAGACAAGGTCTCATTATGTGGCCCCGGCTGGTCTTAAACTCCTAGGTTCAAGCAATCCTCTTGCCTTGGCCTCCCAAAGTGCTGAGATTACAAGCAACAGCCACTGCGCCCAGTCTGAATCTGTACACTTTAAATAGGTGAACTACATGGTATATAAAGTATGTCTCAATAAAGCCCTTATTTAAAAAAAGATGCTGGGAGTCTAGATGGAGTGGTAACAGTGGGGATGGTGGGGAGACACACCAAGAGGTAAACTCACAGGATCTGACACCTGGGAGGCTGGCCTAAGGGAAGAAAGGTGTTCCCAAATAAGTCAGAGAGGGTGGGAGGAAGAGCCATTAAAAGTCCCATCTGAGAGGCTGGCAGAAGTGCCTGTGAACCTTAGTGACCGAACATATGTTCCACTTTTGTAAAATAAAATGACTGCTACCAGTGTTACCAGTGCTCACAAAAATGCCTTTTAGCACCGGCTTCTACAATAGGCTCTGAGTTCTCTAATGGTGCTTGCAAGGAAGGCAGTACATACAGTCTTTCTTTTTTTCAGTTGCAGTCTCACTCTGTCACCCGGGCTGGAGTGCAGTGGCATACTCAAGGCCATCCCAGCATCAACCAGCTGGGCTCCGGTGATCCTTCCACTTCAGCCTTCCAAGTAGCTGGAACTACAGGCGCACACTACCACGCCTGGCTAATTTTTGATTTATTGTAGAGACGAGGTCTTGTCAAGTTGCCTGGGATGGTCTAGAACCCGCAGGCTCAGGCAATCCACTCGCCTTGGCCTCCCAAAGTGCTGGGATTATAGGCTAAGCCACCAAGCCCGGCCACATACAGTCTTTCTTACAGACAAAGAAGACTGAAACCTTTCCTAGGCTGATAACTATTTTATCTCTTGAGTTCTACATTTAGAAAAAAAGAATTTTGCTGACCAAAAGTTTGGAAACTGCAGCTTTACCATAGCTATACCATAACGGACACTGTGACCACCATACGATGTGAAAAAAAAGATAAAAGTAAAAATGAAAGCATTGAAGCTCAGCATCTAGGCTATAAAACCATAAAATAAGGTGAGGACATGGAAAAACCAGAGCCCTTGTACACTGCTGGTGAGAATGTAAATGGTGCAGCCACTATGGAAAATGGTGGCAGTTCCTCAATAAACTAAACGTCAAATTATCATATCACCCAGCAAGTCTACTTCTGGGTATATACTCAGTAAATGAAAGCAGAGACTCAGATACCTGCACACCCATGTTCATAGCAGCACTATTCACAACAGTCAAAAGGCAGAAGCAATCCAAATGTCCACTGACAGAAGGATAAACAAAAAGGTGGTATGTATAGATACAATGGAATACTATTCAACCTTAAAAAGGAAGGAAATCCTGACACATGCTACAGTATGGAAAAAGAAGTAGACACAAAAGGACAAATACTGTACGATTCCATTTACAGGAGAAACATAGAAGAGGCAAATTCAAAGAAACAGAAAGTAGATTGGTGGTTGCCAGGGCCTGGGGAAGGGGGCAATGGGGAGTTACTGTTTAATGGGTATAAAGCTTCAGTTTTACAAGATGAAAAGAATTCTGGAGATGGATGGCAGTGGGGATAAAACAATAGTGTAAATGTATACTTAACGCCACTGAGCTACATGTTTAAACCATGGCTAAAATGGTAAATTTTGTTTGTATATTTTATCACAACTTTTTTAAAAGCTTCAAAACTAAACAAACATAATCCTGGAACTTAAGAGTAAGCCATAATGAGATTCCAATTAGGATCAAATTGGAATGTGTTTTCAAAGCACAAAGCAGACTTCACTCCCAATAAAGTCTCTGCTAGGCTCTGAGCACCCTCAAGGCAGGCCAACAGCCCATAGCCAGACCAATAGCTTGAGTCACTCCCTGATGATTTCCAGCAGGCAGAGCTTACATCCCCGGGGACCAGCCATGGAGCCCAATGGAGATCAGAAGAGGTGGAGTAGCCTTCCAAGCTCCCAAATCACTGCCACCCTCTGCTGCTCTTCCACAGGGTTCTATGCACTGAATCCCAGACCTCCAATCCCATTAAACATTACACAGCCTTCATCTGAACTGCTGCTTTCACTTGCAAAGAAGACACTAAAGAATTACCCATTGGCTGCTTCCCCCCCACTACTCCCTCATCAATGAAACAAAATAGAGAGTCTATAAGTAGCCCCAAACAAATGTAGCCAACTGATTACTGACAACAGTACAAAGAGAATTCAATAAAGAAAGGATCCTCTTTGCAACAAATGATGCTGGAACAGCTGAACATTCATATGTGAGGAAGAAGAGGAAGAGTAATAAGAAGGAAGAAGAATCTTGACCAAAAATTTACACCTAATACAAAAACAACTCAAAATGGATCATATCTAAATATAAAATGTAAAACTAAGAATACACAAGAGAAGTCAAGCATGGTGGCTCATGGCCTATAATCTCAGCACTTTGGGAGGTGGAGGCGAGAAGACTAAGTCCAGGGATCCGACCACAGCTGGGCAACTTGGCAAGACTTTGTCTTCACAATAAATCAAAAAATTAGCTGGGTGTGGTGGCATGTACCTGTGGTTCCAGCTACTTGGAAGGCTGAGGTAGAAGAATTGCCTGAGCCCAGCAGGTCAAGGCAATGGTGACTGTGAGCATGTCATTGCACTCCAGCCTGGGTGACAGATTGATACCCTACTCAAAAAACAACAAAAAAAACCCCCAAAAAACCAGAAGAAAATCTTTGAAACTCGGGGTTAGACAAAAAGACTTTAGATGTCAAAGCACAATCTATAAGAAAAAAATCAGACTGAATTTTAAATTTTTTAAAATTTTGCTTTACAAAAGACATTGTTACAAACATGAAAAGAAAAGCCACAGACGGGAAAAAAAATTGCAAATCATGTACCCAACAAAGGGTTTATATCTAGACTATATAAAGAATTCTCAAAACTTGCCAGTAAGAAAATAACCAATTAGCAGGGCACTGTGGCTCACACCTATAATCCCACCACTTTGGAAGGCTAAGGCAGGAGGATCTCTTGAGGCTAGGAGTTTGAGACCAGCCTAAGCAACATAGAGACCTTGTCTCTACCAAAAAAATGTAGCCAGACATGAGGGAAGCCAGAGGATCACTTGAGCCCAGGAGCTCAAGGTTACAGTGAGCTATAAAGGCTATCTGCTGTACTCTAGACTGGGCAATAGAGTGAGGACCTGTCTCTATTTAATGAAAAGATGGGGAGGGAGGGAGGAGAAAAGAGAAGAAAGAAGGGTGAGGAGGAGGAGAAGAAATAACCAACTGACT